CAAAGTTATAGCGCCACCAACTGGCAGCAGGAAGTGTGTCACTTTCTAAATGCTTTTGACAAAAGTGGGGGGGTTAGTTTTATCTACAGTAACAAAACTCGATATGTATATTGTACTCTTCGAGCCGGACAATTTTCTAATTTACCGTAATTAGCTACGACCAACAGGAAGTCAGATATTTTGGTTTGAATGTGGATTTCAGATTCTGAGTTTTTAGCTACTCCTCCTAAGTAGTTTATTTTATTCATGCCAAACTTTTTCAACATGATGAAAATACATTGAAGATGCTAAATTGTGAACAGATATTGAATATCTCAAACGGTTTTGCTATGGTTGAGGGATTCAAGTAATGTCAAAAAAAGAATCAGGGCATGTCTCATATCTTTCTAAAATGTAATTATACACCATTTATTTTTATATAAAATTATACAAATATTAGAACTAAACCCATTTTATTCCTTTTTTTCAATTTAAGAATTATTTTTAAGTTTAAAAACAGCCAGAATGGTTGTTTAGTCAAAAATAATAATAATCCAAATCATATATAGTGCTATACTGCCCTCTTGTGTTCAAAATCAGGTAGGCCTATTGAATTTATAAATATTTATATATTAGGGATGTTACTATGGGAATATTTTCCCACCGGTTAATCAACGTGTGATTGTGTAAACCAATTGTGTAAACCTCCCGCTGGGGGGTTTAAAAACACTAACTTGAAAGCGAAAGTATAATATGGACGTCCGCACAGACATTGAAATGGTGGCGCTCGAATGAATTCCTATGGAAGTAGAAATTAACTAAACGTTCGCTCTGTTCTGCTCGCTCGTCGCCATGGACGCGCACCATTATGAATGCCAGTGCAGCCGCATACTTTTTAGTGTCACTAAAATTAGTGCAATTTCGGGGGCCGATTGCTTGAATTGTGAGTTCAATAGTCTATTATTTTTCACGGAAAACACAACAATAAAAGAGTACAATGACAGATTCGCTTAAATAGGCGTTTTTACATAAAATAGCCTATTCCGTCATCATCTTTTCAGTCAGCTCTTCACTCTCGTGATTAATGAAATTTGACTCCTGTTGCTGATATTTGCTGCAACTTTCGTTCAGCTCACAATTTAGTAAGCAAACACTTCAAATGTGTTTTTATTTTATTTTTGTGTATGTGTGTGTATATGTATGTATATATATATAAATATAGCTTATGTTTCAAATATGAGTTAATTAACAATCGTTGGAAAGAATGATACTTTTAAACATAACACTAAACCGTCATTAGGTGTCGCCAGGCGACCGTCTTAATGAGCGAGTCATTGATTCATTTGTTTGAACGACTGAGTCATTCATGAATGAGATAGATGTTTATGGATTGATTGGTCATTGAATCTTTGAGTCAACCGATTCGTTCAAAATGCTGAATCATTCAGTAATGAGAACGCGTTGCTGTGAGATGCGCGATGGTTCTGCTGTGATCTTTGTTTAACTATTTTCGCTGCTGAAACAGAAAAAAAGTCAATATTGCATGTAAAATGTAAGTGATTTGACTTGTGTGTGTGTGTGTGTGTGTGATTGTGTGTGTGATTGTGTCTGTTACAGTGATAAGAGTTTAACCCTTGTTAAACTTTAGGCCTTGTCTTTTTGGATATATATCTTTTTATATAAAAAAATAGTCATACAACCCATATATTTTAAATGTATTGTTTGCTTTAAATTACATTAAGATTGTATGTTTGGTAATTGAACCTGAATGAATTTTAAATGAATGTGCTATATTTCAGATCATATATTTGTTTTCCTTAAAATTTGAACTAACACTAACTTTATTCTCATCTGAATGATAGATTATTTATTTCTGTATAAAATAAAAACACATTTGATTTTTCTTTTTTAATCAATGTAGAATGTGTAACTGAAAAAATAAACAGATTAGGGCTCTGTTTGATGACAAGAAATGAAAACCAATGCGATATGATGAATGTCCAAAAGATGGCTCCCACAGACTGTTTTTAAATAGGATTGTTTGATATTTTTTGCTTTTAAACTGTGTGTGTGTGTGTGTGTGTAAGAGATTTTGGTTGGGTGACAGTTGTAGTTTACAGTTTGACAAGAGTTTATAGCTTGACAAAAGCACAATGTTGTGTTTTATTGTGATTGTACACAAATATAAGTAAACACTTTGCAGTTTGAATAATGTCCTGTATGAACAAAAGGACGGAGTATGTTTTTATGTCTACATTGTTCAATTACGCCACACACACACACACACACACAAACACACACACACACACACACACACACACACACACACACACACACACACACACACACACAAACACTATTTTTCTAATCAGATCAGGCAAGTAATATTCTGTCTTGTCTCTTAAAAAAACAATATATATATATTTATATATATATATATATATATATACATATATATATATATATATATATATATATATATGTGTGTGTGTGTGTGTGTGTGTTTGTGTGTGTGTGTGTTTGTGTGTGTATATATATAAATATAGCTGCGAGCAGCGATGAAAGGGCCAAAGCCGGCGGCACCGCCACCCCGGTTATAGCGCCACCAACTGGCAGCAGGAAGTCTGTCACTTTCAAAAAGCTTTGAAATCACCTGATTGCTTCAAACTTCACTACTATGATGTAAACACACGGCAGATGTAGACCTGGATGTAGACCTGACCTTTCAGAAGGTTGCTCTCGCATACTTTGTGGTTGATATGTGCCCTCAATGCACACTTTTGCAGAGCCCACACTGATACAAGCTCTACAGCACACTTCTTTTCGACAGTCAAAGCAGGGTTACGTTTTTGCACGTCGTGCACAATAACCCTAAAGGCACCAGGGTGGCGGGATTTTTGCCAGGGGATTTTTGATATCTCGAACGGTTTGGCCGTGGCGAGGAAACGAATTTATGGCGAGAAACAACAAACAAGAAGTGCGTTATAACTTCTGCATACATTAACTGATCTTGATGAAACTTCAGCAGTGTGATCGCTGTAAGAGGCCGATCACATGGATGTGACTATTGTGAGTCAAAGTTATAGCGCCACCAACTGGCAGCAGGAAGTGTGTCACTTTCTAAATGCTTTTGACAAAAGTGGGGGGGTTAGTTTTATCTACAGTTACAAAACTCAGCATGTATATTCTTCTCCTCAAGCCAAACAACTTTCTAATTTAAAGTAATTAGCTCCGACCCTCAGAAAGTCAGATATTGTGGTTTGAATAGGGTCATTTTCTCTCTCTCTCTCTCTGAGCCAATATGGCAAGCCGCTTTAACATTTAATCATTTTAACCTACTAGTCTCTATTTTCATGCTACTAGTACTTATTTTTAGATACTAGTATCTATTCCATTAAGTACTGGTACTTATTCATTAGCGACTAGTGCCTATTCTTTAGATACTAGTGCTTATTCTTTAGATATTCTTTTGAATACGTATTAGTAGCTAATGAATAAGTACTGGTATCTATTTAATAGGTACTAGTATCTAATGACTTAGTACTAGTATTTATTGAATAAATACTAGTATCTATTAATAGGTACTAGTATCTAAAAGGTCATTTTCTCTTTCTCTCTCTCTGAGCCAATATGGTAAGCCGTTTTAACATTTAATCATTTTAACCTACTAGTCTCTATTTTCATGCTACTAGTACTTATTTTTTAGATACTAGTATCTATTCCATTAAGTACTAGTACTTATTCATTAGCGACTAGTGCTTATTCTGTTTAGAATATTCAAAGTGCTTATTCAATTTTTTTGCTTATTTATATTTTCAGAGCAGAAAATCCGATTTTTCTGCTTATTCAATATTGCATCTAAAAATGTAAGTGACTTGACGTGTGTGTGTGTGTGTGAGAGAGAGAGATGTGTCTGTTACAGTGACAAGAGTTTAACCCTTTAAGGCCTTGTCTTTTTGGATATATATTTTTTTTATTAAAAAAAATGTGCATACAACCCATATATTTTAAATGTATTGTTTGCTTTAAATTAAATTAAGATTGTATGTTTGGTAATTGAACCTAAATAAATTTTAAATTAATGTGCTATATTTCAGATCAATATATTTGTTTTCCTTCATTTTAATCAACACTAACTTTATTCTCATCTGAATTATAAAGAATTTATTTCTGTATAAAATAAAAAATCCCGAATAATCCAGACCAACCAGAGCGCACTATTTCTACAACATCATCAGTGCTGAAGCGAAACTACCAGAGCCGTTCGGCAGATAGCAAGCAGATATTTTGTGTCACGTCGTGCACAATAACCCTAAAGGCACCAGGGTGGCGGTGCCACCGGCTTTATATATATATATATATATATAAATATATATATATATATATATATAAATATAGCTGCGAGCAGCGATGAAGGGCCCAAGCCGGCGGCACCGCCACCCTGGTGCCTTTAGGTAACTAAAGGCACCGGGGTTGCGGTGCCACCGGCTTGGGCCCGTAATCGCTGCTCGCAGCTATATTTATGAATGTTTTGTTTTGTGGAATCAATTTTAATGTTGGTTTTTGCACTTTGCTGCAGGGGGTCCAGACATCAATTCATTTCATATGACATTTATGTGCACTGTTCAACAATATGAAATTAGCTTAATCATGGGTCTTTGGTATAGTGCACATGGATGTTGTATAAGGTCAATCTAGAACTTGTTCTTCTATCCTATTTAATAACTTAATTTTCATCTTGTCACCATTCTCTCTTTACTTGCTCCATCAGCACAGTGAAGGTCACACTTCATATTTTACACACCTCCTTCTATTTGAAACTGTTCCAATCAGCAGTGCTGGGTCCTGTCCCATGCTTTTAGGCCACCAGGAGAGAGCATGACACTAGTTTTATTGACACAATTGCTTAAAATATCAGAAGAATTAGGATATTATACACTGCAATACGTTTACAATAGACAAAGTTGTTTAATGCAAAACTCAAGCAATTATGAATTTAGTTTTTTCTTAATTCTCCTCAGGAGCGGTTTGAGGCTCTGTTCAGGATCTATGATGATCAGACGTCCTTCCAGATGTTCAAGAGTTTCAGAAGAGTTCGGATCAGCTTCACCACTCCAGAGGCTGCTGCACGCGCACGCATCGAGCTCCACGAATCAGACTTCAACGGCGTTAAACTAAAACTGTACTTGGCACAGGTCAGTGCGTTAATCTTTATGTTTCATTCTGCAGTAAAGGGATTGTTCATCCAGAAATGAAAATTCTTTTACCATTATTCACCACCATGTTGTTCCAAATCTGTATGCTACATTTTCAAACTGTCCAAAATATTAAAAAGTTTGGGGTCAGTTTTATTGTTTTTAAAGTCTCATTTATTTGATCCAAAATTCTGCAAAACAGTAATATTGTGAAGTATTATTACAATTTAAATTAAATGTTTTCTATTTTAATTTGTATTTTAATATATTTAAAAAAATAATAATCTGTGATGGCAAAGCAAAATTTTCAGCATCATTACTCCAGTCTTCAGTGTCACATGATCCTTCAGCAGCCTGTACCATGATGGTAGTTGAACAAACTCAGGGTTACAGGATTAGTTTTGAGTTGACAAAACCAAACCAATCCAATCAGGCTTTGTTGGTACCATGATGCTGATCATCAACTTTCTCTGTCAACTCAGGCTTTGATCCTGAGTTTAGGAGTTTAGGTGTGACATCAGTAGCCAACAGCCAATCACATACTGAGAAAGAGTGAAACCGCGATTCATTTCTCGTGAGAGAAGCAGTGAGATCTTCTCTCTTTTGCAAGAATATTACAAGATTGAAAAATATTAAGAATTTAAACAAATTTACACAGCAAGAAGAAAATAGCTGTCTATGAAAGAGGACAACTAAAAAGTATTGCTATATCAGTGCAAGTAAAAGTTGTGAAGTTAGTTTATACAATTGATAAAGGTACAGAGAGAACTGAACATTTAAGCTCACATGTAGTAATTGTATAGTTTATATCTATTGATTCTAAAGCATATTTATATTACGTTATATATTTATTAACTTAAACTGTGCATAATAAAAATTGTTTAACTAAAATTGCATATGTGTGATCGATTGGTTATAATAATTACATAAATAATATCTAAATCATACAACATTTTTATTCTAAATAAGTAGTAAAAGCCAGACAATTTTGTCTTCAAAAATCCTTTGCCATGTAGTGACCTTAATTTGGAGTAGAAACAGGTGGAGTGACTTTATCCTATCAGACATGTGTCACTTTGCTCACAGCTGATTGGTTCAAGTTCAGTTTAAGATCTCTCACCTGGAACATAACCTGACCCGGGCCAGGTTAGCCGTGGAGTGTGAGTTACTATGGCGATGAACACTGCTAAAAGCCAAACCACTTTCATAGTGCCTAAAACCCAGGGTTAGCGCTAACTAAACTGAAACATAGCTGACTAGCCACCTAAACCGGCTTCATGGTATAGGCCCCAGAAATCATTCTAAACAAAACAAAGTTCTGTCACGAAATTGTAGATGGCGCAGGCTCACAAGTCCTTACCCAATCTGCTTGCAATTACATCATTGTCTATTAGACACAGCTGATTGGATCCACTTCCCGCTTTATTGGTAGCCAATGAGCTTGCTGCTCAACATTCAAATTCTTGCCTATTGTTTGCTGTAGCAGTTTGCAGCGTGCTTTCAGAAACCCTCCACCTTCCCCAGCTCCACCTGCATAGATCTGCTACGGGGGTGTTTCATGCTTGGCAGTGGCAAGTTTCGTACTTGCTCTGCCACAGCAGCAGCGATAACCACCAGCAGCAGCAGCGTAGCAGATCTATTCCGCCAAGACCAAACACATTCTCATTACCATGCCAAACTCTCACAAATGAGAGTTGTCATGACAGAACATTTATTATTATTATAATTTTATATTAATATTTTTTGTGGCAACCATTTTTTCAGGATTCTTTGATGAATAGAAAGTTAAATAAAATGCTTATTTGAAATATACATTTTTGTAACAGTATAAATGTCTTTACTGCTATTTAATGCATCCTTGCAGAGTAAAAATATATATTTTTTTAAATAAAACACACTTCCTGACCCAGAACTTTTGAACGGTTGTGTAAGTCTTTATTCATTCACATTCATTTATTCATTTTTCATAATCTTGCCTACACCTGAAACTTGCGTCTACCCTGTGTTCATGTCCAGACATGAAAAAGGCCCATTGGGTTTCTAGACAGATGAGAACCAATGCTGTTCTGGGCCTTTAGCTTCGGCAGAAGTAAATGTTTCTTCTGGGCTATATCATGCGTTTATTGTGTTTTTGTTGGAGCTGCATATTGTAATAACCCATATGTTGTTGTTTTTTTTCTGTTGAAAACAAAAGTAGACTTTTTGGTATATGTTTTTATTCGAGCACCTTTCAATTTCACATCCAAAAACACTAATGAACAAACGAAAGCTGTTACAAAACAAAGTGAGGATAAAAACAAATCAAACAAAAAGAAAAAAGACTAGCAGATAAACATGTTCCTTCGCCTAGGTTTAGTTCATTACTACACCAGATTTATTTGTAACCACACAAGTTGTAGCCACACATTATGAATCAAGCGATTTGCATAAGGCGTTTGATTCATTTAACACATTATCTTTGACAATTATAGAAGACTAATAGGAAGCAACATGAGCTGAGATCTCTGGACTCTCAGTGTAATATTAGCCAGAGGAAAGAACAGGAGTTTAGATTTTCTTTTCTCCTCTCTTAGAGGTCTGTCAGCAGGGGATAGTTAAAGAACACACAGTTCTCAGCACAGTAACACACACACACACACACACACACACACACACACTGTGGCAACATCAGTGTGATACTAATCATTATTGCCATTTATCTGAAATCAGACAGACACAATTATATTCCTAGAATCATTATGTAGTAAATGTGCTCCGTGTTTTACTCTGAACACATAAAGAATGGACACACTCCTCACAATGGTGCTGTGAATTTGTGTGCTGCTGTGTGGGAGTGCGGAGATGATCCAGGACATTGTGTGTCTTTGAACAGTAATAGAATAGCCTTTCCTTTAGAGAGATGTAACTATGGTGAGAGTATTCCTTCAAATCAATGCGATCTGGGCCTGAACTCTGCTATATTAAGCGTAGAGGATTTAATTTAAAATGAGTGCACAAGTGATTTATTCTTATTGTTTAGTCTTGTTTTGTGCTTTCCCAGCTCACAAAAATATGTTCTAAGAACGTTTTTAGAACGTTCCCATTAAGTTATGAAAAAGTTATTTCTAAATGTTCTGACCGTTCAAAGCGTCCATTTTTTTTTAAATGTTTTAAAAATGTTATATGATGTTATATATTTTGGTTATAAAGGGGAAGATTCCATTTTATCAATCTGCAAACATGGGAACGTTACTTTTGAATGTTCTGAAACATGTTTTTTTTTTAAATATTACTAAAACGTTTCAGTAAAAAAATTCCTTGAACAATATATACATAACGTTTTTGTGCTAAAGTTGTAAGAACAATATGAAAGACAAGATAACTTTGAACGAACATTCTATTAACGTTACTGGAACGATACATTTTACACAACAAAAGTTACATTCTATTAACATTTTGGTAACACTTTACAATAAGGTTCGTTAGTTAACATTAGTTGACTAGTTAGCATGAACTAATAATGAACTGCACTTATACAGCATTTATTAATCTTTGTTAATGTTAATTTCAACATTTACTAATACTTTATTAAAATCTTGTTAACATTAGTTATTGCACTGTGAACTAACATGAACGAACAATGAACAGCTGTGTTTTTTATTAACTAACGTTAACAGCGATTAACAAATACAGCAACAAATGTATTGCTCAATGTTAGTTTATGTTAGTTAATATGTTAACTAATGAACCTTATTGTAAAGTGTTACCAACATTTCTTCATAACTTGAAAGAACCTTGTCAGAACGTTAGCCAACGTTCTGAGAAAGTTCCCTGTTAGCTGGGTTCCCACCCCCTCTTTTTTTCTGTCTGGCCACAGGTGCAGAATTCAGGGGAAGATGTGGACAAGGCATACCTTGCCCCGCCTCAACCTGTCAAGCAGTTCCTCATCTCTCCACCTGCGTCTCCACCTGTGGGATGGAGCCAGAGTGATGATGCCACACCTGTGATCAACTACGACCTGCTGTGTGCTGTGGCCAAACTGGGACCAGGTACAAAAATACACACACATACAATCATCATACAAGCATATGCCACATGCTCCTACACATGCAAACAAGCTGTGTCTAGTTTAAGTGTGTTCAACCATCTGGACCAAATGTCTGTGTCCTCATTGATTTAAGCACTAATTTTCACTCCAACAGTGGATAAACACACTTACAAATTTCTGCAGATAGATAAATTGACTCCAAAAACCATTTGGAGGTAAACATATTTGTTATAAATCAAATGTATGGACATTATATCTGTAATTTAATATGTTCCAAACTTCTTTTTTGTGCCTGAAAAGTGCTCTTGTGCTTGTTTTGTGAAGTTTGGGGTCGATAAGAATTTGTAAATGTTTTTGAAAGATGTCTCTTATGCTTAAACAGTAATATAGTGACATATTACTACAATTATTACTACAATTTACAGCTATTTTCTATCTTAATATATTTAAATGTAATATATAGTAAATGTATTTATTTGAAATAAAAAATGTTAACAGTGTAAAAGCCTTTACTGTGACTTTTGATCAATTTAATGCGCCCTTGTTGAATAAAAGTATTAAACACCTTTGAGTGATATTGTAGGTAAGCACTAATGTTTCTAAATTTGTTCATGAAAGTTAGGTAACACTTTAGTTTAGGGTCCAATTCTCAATATTAACTAGTTGCTTATTAGCATGCATATTATTGGCTGTTTATTAGTACTTATAAAGCACATATTAATGCCTTCTTCTGCATCCCTTAATCCTACTCAACACCTAAACTTAACAACTACCTTATTATTTAAAAGCAGTAATAAGGAGTTTATTGAGGCAAAAGTCGTAGTTAATAGTTAGTTAATAGTGAGCATTGGACCCTAATATAAAGTGTGGCAGAAAGTTATTATGCAGTGTTACTTAGAAAATAAAGCACTTTTTGTTAGGGTTTTCTTGAGTTGGAAAAGCTTGACAATGACCCCTGATCAAAGGCAATAGCAGCTAGATAACGTTTGTCAAGACAAACTCGGATGTTGGCTTGAAAAAGCCTGACCAAAAAGTTTAAAGTAGTTGAAGAAAAAAATTAAACGCTAGAAGGCTAAAAATACATTAAAAGTATGCTGGATTGCAAGAGATTATTTTGGTTATCACTAATGTGTTAATGGTTGGTGAACAGCTAATGTGTTTAAAGAAAAACGAAACTGTAAGAGGTCAAATGTGGCAGCAGTGAATAGAAATGGACGATGTTCTCCTTGTCATGATCAGTATCATGTGTGCTGTGTGTGCGCCCCCTGCTGGTGAATATCACAACAACACTGACTCCCTGCTATTGCAAACCTCTTATCACCTCTTATTGGTCTGGCTCGTTACTATAGCAACCCTTATTCTGTTTCTCAGTGTTTGTGTGTAGTGTGTTCTCAATGGTGGTGCTTCTATTCTTTAATCTTGGGGATGTAAAATATATCTGTTTACTAAGGGTTCTAATCTTTTAATGGCTGTCAAATCGAACATCTTTTGTTATTGAGAGAACATTTCTCTGGCTTGTGCTCCTCAAAACATCTGCCTGATGCAGAAAAGAAGGCAAGCCCATCTAACATAACACGCCTGGATTAACGTTACTGAGTAATCTGGATTTAATTGGAGATGATATGACAATATCTTTGTCATATCTGTTCCACTCTTCAAAACTCATATTAGAGTTGTCGTTATAGTAACAAGTTTGCAAGATCAAACATGCTCTGTAGCATATGTTTATTTAGCGTCAACAGGATCCAATCATGAAGGAGGTAAAAGTCTGTGCCAGTGGCCCTTCTTAGAAAAGCTCTATGAATAATAATAGTTAATAATAATAATGTAGAATTTTAGAAAAGCAACATGTTGAATTAAAGGCAAAATTGTAATATTATTCCTATGAATAATAATAATAATTTATAATCTTAGAAAAGCACCATGTTGAACTAGAGGCACAAATAGTAATTTAGTATAAATTAATGAATTACTTATTAATTATAAATAAATGTAATAGTTTAGTATATTATTATTATTATTGATAGATGTGCTAAAACATGCTAGCAACACGTTACAACATGCTAGCAAGAAGCAAAATGTTAAATCATGCTAGCAACATGCTAACAACATGTTAGTGACGTAAAATCATGCTAGCAACATGTTAATTCATGCTAAAACATGTTAGCAACATGCAAAATCATGCAAGCAGCACGCTAATTAATGCTTACATGTTAACAACATGTTAATTAAAGCTAGCAACGTGCTAAAACATGCTAGCAACAGACTAATTCATGTTAGTAAACATGCTAATTCATATTAACGTGTTAAAACATGCTAGCAAGTGTTAAATCATGCTAGCAACATGTTAATTCATGCTAACAAGGTGTTAAAACATGGTACTATAAGAAATTGTTGCGCTCTAAATTGACAAAAAATCCTTTTTCTTCAGGTGCGTGGAGCCAAAGAAATATGGAAACCGAGCAAGAAGGTGGCTGGCCTTACACTGAATTCATTACAGACTACAGAAGTCTATCAAAACTTTTTTTTTTTTCTGGATTGCATAGTGCAAAAAGTGCAAAGTAAATGAACAGGAGCAAACATTTCAGCACATTGCTAAAAAATAACAACATGCTAATTTGTGCTAGCAACGTATTAAAACATGATAGCAACATGCTAAATCATCCATCTATCTATCTGTTTTTCTGATAGACTGTATTGCCTTCAAAACATTTTAAACTTTAAACTTCAATCTACTTCAATCGTAAAACCTTCAAACTTTAAGCTTTTAAAACTTTCTCAAGCCATCTTCAAAGTTTGTCATCAAACTTTACTCATCATACTTTTACTCAAATTAGTATTACTGATAATAACAACAACACTGATAATATATATATAATATATAGTCTTGGAAGAGTTGAACTAGATGATAAATCATTTAGTATAATAATTATAATAATAATAGATAAGGTATTATTATTATTAATAATATAATTATATAGTCTTAGAAGAGTTGAACTAAAGGCACAATAATTTATTGTAATGATAATAATAATAATAATCTTAGAAGAGCAACATGTTGAACTAGAGATGAAAATGATTTATATTATTGTTATTGTTATTATTATTATTAATAATTCAAAGGCCATTTTATTGATTAAGAAGTTCCTATGGCTGTAGGGTATATTTAGCTCATTTACATTAGCTGTACAGTCTGTTCAAGCCATGCTAAGAAAGTATTTCGACATGGTTAAGTTGTTCTTGTTTAACAACACCTGAGGTCAACATTAGGATCAAAAGACAATGCAAACATGCCGGATGTATTGTCCAACCCTCAGACAAAGGGGAGGGAGGGGGGGTTGATTGGGCTGGTAAGGGAGTCTAGACTACTGAAACTTCCAGCATACATATTTTAGTACATCAAACTTTATTTGAAAAGGTCAAGGAAAATTGTATCTTATTGTCTTTTATCTATCTCTCTAGGTGAGAAGTACGAGCTGCATGCGGGTACAGAGTCCACTCCTAGCGTGGTGGTCCACGTGTGTGAGAGTGACACTGAGGAAGAGGAAGAAGCCCGGCCAAAAGCCAAGATTGTCCAGACCAGACGTCCCGACGGTCCCCCAAAAGTCTACAACTAAAACCTTCAGCACACAGCACACGTTTTTTCTCTCTCTCTGTGTCTCTTTCTCTCATCCAGGGAAAGGCACGCTTTATTTCAATAACAAAAAAAAGCTAAACTAAGACATGGATGGATTGGGAGGGGTGCTCAGTGCACAGGTGACTTGTGGTGTTCTGAACTGGACTCGTGGACTGAACACACTGTCTCACCGCTGCCTCACGGGACAGACAGGGGGCGATGAGCTTGCGAACCCCCTCTCACAATCATAACACTTTCATTCCCTCATTTAGAGTTTTTGTCCTGTACCATTCAAGCTCAGTAATTGTAATTAACAGTCGTAGAAGTAGGTTACATGTAAGCTTTGTTACTGTTTGTCTCTATGATTGATCATCAAAGAAAAAAAAAATGCTTTAAAAAAAGGAAGCGGACACATTCTGCTTTCTCCGTTTCTCTCTTGACGGCTGTCGCGTTTATCTCCATATCGGTCAGGTTGGCACACCTACAGCGGTGCCGCGGCTCGCTGGGATTGTGACCTGTGTGCAGAATTATGCCTGTTCATACCATGCTAGAATGGGATGACAAGTTGTTCGATGGAAACGATATGAGCGAAGGAGTCGAATGTTTCAGTCATGTCGGTGATGACGAGAGGGTGTTCTTTCACTAAGTTAGATGTTTATTATTCTTACTGTGTATTTGATACCGCACATTTTTGCATGCTAACTGGTGTATTTTATACTCTGTTAAAACCACTTGGAACATATCTGACTGCTGTCTTTCAGAGGGATGGCTTTGGAAAGTGAAGAAACAGTTGTCAGGTGTAAAGTTCGACATTTTGTACTTGTATAGCGCAACGTTCACTCACAGGCCAGAAAAAGCACATGTTATTATGGGTCTTAGTTTCACCCCATCTTTGTTTGGCGCATTTATGCTTAAGCTTTTTTAGTACCATTTGCATTGTTTAGCACTGACAATGTTTGGTGTCTTTGCATATGTTTACTGAATCTACACTGACATGTGCTCAAGTTTCAAGGTGAAAATCAATGTGACGACTGACTTGGCCCAGACCCACTGTATGAATGCTTTACTGCTGTCATATCAATGTTAACTGTTGAGTATTTTGCATTGACAGATTAAATCTTAAAGGTATAGTTCACCCAAAAATGAAAATTCTGTCATCATTCATGCTGTGAAATTTTAATTTTGAAGAATGTTGATAACCCAACATTTCTGGTGCCCATTGACTTCTATTGTTTGAGCAAAAACACATTTCTCAAAATATATTATGTTGAAGACATGAAGTAGTACAGCTTTGGAACATGATGAGATCATTTCTGTTTTTGGGTGAACTATCTAAAGTCTTTCATGTCTCGCAAATCCTCATTTTTTCCAGTTTATAAATCTTCACTGTGTTAATTCATACCAAAACTGTTACAAATTAATGAATGATGTAATTTTAAGATATGTGTTGTAGTAATAATGTACAGTCAGTGAAGCAGAATCCAGCGATTGACCAATCACATTGAGGATTGCAGAGAGGCATGTAATAATGGTGTCAAATTAGCCTTATTAAAAGTCATATTTCAGTCAAAAAATGAAGAAAATCCAGTTAAATGTTGAATGAAATTCAATCTTTTTTTTAAAAAATGAATCATGGCGATGTAAATCACATAAAAAAAGAAATCATGCAAACAAATAACTGTGATATTCATGTGACTTTCTAAATTGCCTTTGCTCCCTTGCTTACAAAGACAAAAGTGTTTAATAACCAATCATTCAATGACGAAGGACTCCTTTAGCAAATAACAAAGAAATAAGAAATAATAAAGATAAACATCTAATGGAATTTAACTTTTTTTTTTTTTTGTAACTCTGCATGCTGTGACTTTTCCATAGATGCAGTCTTTCCCGTTTGTATTTCACTCTGAATGCAGCCCTTTTCTCCTGCCTGTTTCTACCTGTTTTTTTTTTTTCAGGTGTTCGGTCACTACAGGGGCGAGAAACATGGGTGAGCAAAGCTCTTTGAGTTATCGATAACCAGCATATAGAAATGTTTTGGACTCTTTGAGTATTGTGTGTGTTCACCTTTAAAACAAAAGGAAGAAGTTAAGCGAAGTATATGAACACATGCAGCAAATTTGTACTGAGTTGTTACAGATAAGCCTGTCATTGGCAGCATAATGTATTGATTTTTTTTTTACTGTCTTTAAGGCTGTTGTTGTTTCGTATCAGTAAAATGATCTTATTCTTTCTTCTTTTTTTTAAGGAGGGCTACAGATGGTCAGTTCTATCACTGTTGCTGTTTGGATTTAGATATTGTCTAGTACTGTAACTGTAGTTCATAACCTGTGAACAAAGCAATAATTTACGGTTATATGTCCATGTTCTGTATGGTATGTTTTTGTTTTTTTGCAGAGGTGTTTTCTGATTCTTAACTTGCTTATGTTTGTGTAAATATGATTATTTGTTTCTCATTGGCATATAAATATATAAATAAATAAATATATATATATATAAATAACTGATTCTTAAAAAAAGTGCTGTATTGTTTATTTCACACAAATAATCCACCAAAGGTGGCAGAAAAGTGTGCATCTTAAATCTAATATTTAATTAAGTGTGTGAATAACGTTTATAGACATCATTAATAGTGAATAGGAAGTCCCCACCAAGATATATTTACAACAGGTTTTTTTTTTTCAAAACGTCTTCCTCATTCCATCTGTGTTTAAAGGAGTGGTCAAGTATGGGATTCTAAATAATTAAACTCAATTAAAGTCTGTGTGAAATCTTACTCTATTTTTTACTAAAAATTGCAAATTCAGATTGTTTCAGGCTTTTTAAAAATCTTAGTTTTCCTTATTGTCTTTTTCAACCAAAGCTAAGATTAACTGTTACAGAATTAGCCTACTTTCCAGTATTATTAACTGACAATAAAAGGAGGTTCCTCTCAATCTCACAGAATGGGACACACCTGATTTTTGTTTCTACCTGTCAATGATTAGATCCCAGCCCAGGCTCCTGGGATACAAATACTGATACAAAGATACTAATATACATGTTCTCACTCCTCGTTTAGGGAATTATTCATTGAGGAAAATAAGGAGCTTGTGAATCACAGCCAGTAGCTTTGAACAAGATGTACTGCTATAACTAGATCTGCCAGAATTAGTTTTTTGTCATGTGTATACTGAAAATCTGTCTCATAATAACCACTGATAAGTACAGCAGAGGATCTGATCATGTATACTGAAGATTGGAACATTTATATTAAAGACTTATATTCATGTTTTAAATCTTATCACATAAAGTAGACCCAAAGTATTTGGACAATGTCTACATTAGTCTATATACATTTGAAAACACTCTCCGTCCACAATAGCGTTTTCCAAAAGTTTCTCGTCCACACTAAAACGTCAAATATCCTATTGTCTTACTGACAAATAAATAAATGCAGCACACGCACATTGTTTTTAACCAAAATATTTATCCATAAAGCTGATCATCCTTGCAGTGCCAAACCGCATGTAACTGTGTCCCCACAGATGTGTTCGAGAACTTTCCTTGGTGGGCAAAGGTAAGTTGTATCGCTATTTAACTGTAAAATATTATTGTCCATCCAAAATGGAACACCTTAAGAGATTTGAATACAAGATGAGAAACATTTCCCTATACATTAACAGAAAACCTTCTCTCTTTAAGGCAAGAGGCAAACCACTTCAGCACAGGTCCCTGAAACCCAGCTACTTGATCAAGTATTTGTAAAATAATGTCATGATAACTGTGTCAAATGCTGCACTTAAATCAAGCAGGATTGAAATACAGCAAGAACCAGAGTCAAGAGTGGGTAAAATATCATTGGTAATCTTCAACAAAGCAGTATTCAGTACTGTGTAGTTCTCTGAAACGAACCAGACTGAAATGTGTCAAGTAAGATTAAATCTGAGAGTACATCAGAACATCAGAAGGACAAAATGAGGGCTTCATATTAAAAAAATATCATAGAGTTGTGAAGGAGACACAGGTTGAAAAAGAGAAAGAGAGCTCTGAGGAGAAGGTGTTTCTAGAGGAAAAGAACTTTGAGATGGTATGTTAGACCTAACTTTATTCCTTACCTTGGATTTCAGTAACCTAACGGACAAAATGTGTAGTGGGACAAACTGAGTCCAAGGTAGAAGTGCATTGTTAAAAAGATAGATCAATTCATCTGGATTGACACAAGAGGATAGGACTTTCATAACATTTGGGATTTCGGTCAATAAATACACATCATTGAAAAACCTAGCAGAAGAATTAAAACATTAACAATAACGTGGTGAGTGATAGGACAGAGTACATGACAACACAGAGTCAAAAACAACTGGATAATGATCAGACATAGCACCATCACATATTTCAAGATTAGTCACAGAAAAACCAAATGCAATACTAAATCCAAAGTATGACCCTTCTGATGTGTAGGTCCAGAATCCAATTGTACAAGGTTAAAAGAGTCCATAAGACATAAAAACTCTTTAACCAGGAGTTTCCTTTCAAGAGAACTCCACACTGCGTCCAATGACGCTATGGCAACGCATCCAGGTGTGACCGGTGTCTGAAGCACGTGTAGAACACGCCAATCTTGATTGGCTGACGGCAATAACATATTGTCACATGGTAGCACCTGGTATTGTGAGATATTTATGCCGCGTTCCAGGCAACCTGTAACCCGTGTTTTTCGAACCTTATACCCGTGAAAGTGCACTGGAACGGCAGTCAAACCCGTGACTTCCCACCCGTGAACTCGTACTAGATCGATGCACTCCTAGTTACGAGCTCTGACGTCACATAGCCCGCGAAACCATACAAAACAACAATGGCAGCCCCTACGGATGCAGTGTTTCGTCAGGCGGTACACGGTGAGAATACACTTTAGGACAATATAACGTTAACTAGTTTTCAGTCCATTGAGTGCAAGGATAAATTAATACCAAATACATTTCCAAATATACAAATAAAGTAAAATAAAAGGTATCCGTTTCCCTCAAATAAACAAGGAGTAAGCACCTTTGGCGACAGAAATTATTACAAATGCGCATAAGCCCCATAAGGTCCGCCATGCTGGTTTGTTTACATCTAGCTACCACAATTCCTTGCGCTCAGGTAGTTTGGCGTGACTGGCCTGGAATGCTACAAAGTTGTGAGTCGTGGTTTGAAGTCGTGATTTACGTGCTCAAAAACCTGCCTGGAACGCAGCATTGGTTCCTGTGAAAAACTGTAACTGTGTGGGTATGTCTCAAGGACACGCCCACAATAGGGGAAATATCATGAATATTTATGCATACTCCAGCCCTTGGAACACTTTTTCACAGGAACTGAATATCACACAACACTGTGTGTCTAAAAGGCCACCCTGCATCAGATGGCATGAGCTTTTTGTCTTCAGAAGCCGCTTTTTTTGTATGTGCCTGTAAGAAAATCTTTTGGAGAGCGTTCAATTCCCAAGGGAGTTGGATGCACTCATAGCAATGCATTTGCGTTAAGAGCTCTGTTCTTGCTTAATTTGAGTCAAGCGTTTGCACAGAGCGCGTTTGGCTCTTGAGTGAGCTGAAAGCATTCAGTGTGATGTGCTTACTGTGGGAAGGTCCACTCTTGACTTTCTCTTGATAGATGAAAGTCGAGTGTCGGCATCTTGTGGTTCGGGTCCCACAGATGTCAAGGAGGCAGGGCATGTTCGATCACGAGGATTGTAGGCGGACCATGGGAAGATGTCTGACAGGAGTTATTTCCTTGTTCTCCTGATAGCTCCATTGCTCTCAAATCCCATTTTTGAGATTTCAGCCTATTGAACGAGCGTGGTGAGGTGATGCGACCCCTGCATTTTTGGTTGCTCTCCCTCTAGAATTATTGGAATTGTTGGCTATGAACTGCTGAGACGGTAGCCTATTGAAAGCATGGTCAACAGTGAGGCAGAGAGATGATGCAGCCCCTTCTTTTTTGGTTGCCCTCTCTCCAGTGTTACTGAAGCTTATCGATGGAGTGGTCGCGGTGAGATGATGCGACTCCTTTACCATTACGCCATGCTTCTTCCAGCTCAGCTGGTGAAACTGTTGAGAAACAATCGTTTCTTAACAGGGTTAGTTGTGGTAGAGCCTTAGGACCCCCTCACTTTCGGTTGCTCTCCC